AATGATTATTTTACTATATGGTTTATGCTACAAATGCATCTAATTTTCAATCGCATATTGTAAAAAATAATACAAATACTCAAAACATCCTGCACTACATTACACATCTCTCTAGTTCTGGTATGAAGCAGTCTAAGCAAGTTGTTTGGAAAATAAGACCAAAGCCAAGAGACTGTTTGAAGAGTTCAGACTAGTCTAGACCAAGAATAGTACTACTTCCTCAAAAATAAACTGGTCATGACCAATAGAAATGACGCTTTAGACTAATCCGTATCACTATTAAAAATAGTCCGGACTAGTCGGATATTTAGTATTGCTTGGTCAAACGTTCGAATCCACCCATCACCACCTATTCTTCTGATTTTTTTGTTTCACTGACTAGTCTGGATAGTATGAATAGACAAAACAGACTAGTCATAAGAGAGTGTGGGCACGTTCTAGACTAGTCTATATTAGGTTGGAAGACGTTGCTCGTCAAGACAGCCAGTCCTGCGGACTGCAAGTCATTTCAGACTAGACCAGATGGTAGTGCAGACTTTTTAGACTAGTCATGTCGGGCGTCCTTCCTTACGTAGCGATTCTATTCATTTTTTCCCATTGTGATGAAAAAAGGAATGATTGAGCAATCGTGAACAATATCAGACACAAATGCGTCAGAGCTTGTCGTCGTTGTCGCATCGGATAAAAGGTTAGGCTGTTATCATCTAAACTTGCATTAATGTCGACTCCATCATTTCAAACACTTCCGGTCGAGCTTCTCCTACATATTCTCCACAATCTTGATGCAAGAACCATTTGTGTTTCATTTCGTTATGTATGCAAACGATTCTATACAATTACAGACATTTACGATCGATATAAGCTAGATTTTGAATTGGTATTAAAAAATGAGTTCGAATTGATTTGTCGTATTATTCGTCCTGAAAATGTTCGCTTACTTATATTATGTGAAAATATCAATAGACCAAATCAGATAATGTTGTTTTGTCAGCTCGTTAATATACGTCGATTTATTCAGCTAAAATCAGCAACAATAAGTTGTTTTGACGATTCGGATCTTGACAATGTTTCAGCAGTGTCACATATCCAAGATTTTGGAGATGCCACCACGTCTCCCGCGGGAGATACCGCATCTCGCGTAAGAGATGCGGGTGTGGGTGTGGGGGATGCGCATATCTAAAGGAGATCTTACATCTCCAGTGGTGAATGACCATATCTCTCGAGTGTGGGTGTCGTGTCTCCCGCTGGAGACGCGGCATCTCCCACGGGAGATGTGGTGGCATCTCCAAAATCTTGGATATGTGACACTACTCCAATGTTTTGAAGCCTATCGGCACCTGTTCGCTCACATCATTCTCAATCAACATTAAAAAATCACCTATTATTCGCTTCGGCATTCCAAAATCGCTGTTTCATCGTGACAGCATTCTTCCAACATCTCTTTCATTACTAATTGGACAACCAACTCTCCAAAAGCTTCAGCTGCACACTGCTTGTCAAATAAATGAAATATCATGGCCTAGTCAATGTACACTAAAATATCTTAACATTAACTGTTGTACATTAGATCAATATTGTATTATTCTTCAGAATTCACCTTTACTAAAAACAGTCATACTTATAGACTGCGGTCTTCTGATAAATTACATAACAAAAATGTCTTTGTCAACTTTTGCTCTACTTACATTTGAACAAGTAATATCTTTGACACTCGAAAAAATAGATGCCCTGGAAAAGAAAGAACTCAAATTCTTTGTTTCATTAGCGCTTTCGTTGGTTGATCTTGAAGTAACAAGCGAAAAAAAATTGTTCAACAAATTTCAATGGGAACAATTTATTGAAGACAAACTTCCTTTCTTAGAAAAATTTCAATTTTACTTCAGTTGTCATGAGTATTTGCTTCGTCTACCTGTTGACCCTGTATCAATAATTGTTCCATTTAAAACACCATTCTGGCTCAAGAAAGGTTGGTTTGTCACTTGTGATTATATCAAAAGATTAAGTTCGATTAGGATCTATTCGATACCAATCTGTGTATTGAAATTTGATTGCGTACCATAAGTGGACAAAGTCTCATGTTCTACACATTACAATATGAATAATGATATAGCAACGATGGATAATATGCATGTGTTAGTCTCAGACTTGGCAATAGATCTAGCTTCTATTGTTCCGGTAAATGTAGTGTCTTTCAAATATGATATAATTCCTTCTCAAAAACAACAGTATTTTTTCATTTCATATAACTCATTTCTCAAACTCATAGTTATGGATAAAGTCGGGGTATTGTCTCTTACAGATGTGTAGAATCAGTTTTAACCATAAGATCGAGATTAAAGCCGATAGCATTCGTTGACTAAAGTATATTGATAATCAATATGTTTTTATCTTTATAGGAAAAACTGCTTAACCGTCATTTGTTTCGCAATGTTACTCGACTCGAAGTTCGAATGAATGATAGATCATCAATTGACTCTTTTCGTTATTTGTCGTCACTTATCGATTTTTCACATCTCGTAGCAGTTAAGCTGGATATTATTGCGAACACTCGAACAAGTATTGGGGATTTTGATCGACAATCATCCAATCTTCTACCATTCGGAAGAAACAATCATGCTGACAATAGCAACTGCAACATCAATATTGAGAAAATTTGTTCAATGGTACCTCGCCATGTCAAACAGCTGGATATGACAGTAAAAAATGTTGACGAAAAGATCACGATTCTCACACGACTTAATCACTTATGCACTGTCTTATTTCGATTGTCAATACATTTTCCAGGTCGTCGTCAAGAAATTATCACATGGCTACAAAACAAGGCAATCGATTTCACGTATCCTTATGAATACGGTTATCTGTCTATATGGCTCGGCAAAATAATGACTCATCGTAAGCTGCTAACAGTAACATCTCCTCACGAACATGCGAAGATACTTCATCGTTACGATAATTTTTGACAATTTTTGAAATAAAAATTCTATGATAATGGTAGTCAATCAAAAGAAAGATAACTAATTAAGATTAGAAAAGTCGTAATTGACGCAAAACTCAATAGAACAAATATGTTCTATATGATATAATCACATCTCGCTCTAACCTTTAATTCTTGATAAGAAGTAAGTCATCGCCATTGATTTTCCAGAATCGCTGTGCGTCATCGACGACGTCAGCACAAAAGGGTGTGGGTGTGTGTGGGATGTGGGTGTGGATTGGCGTGGGTGTGGGTACGTCCTAGTTTACAACTACCCGTACCCCACACCCACACGCACCCACACCCCACTCAAACACCCCCACCCCCACCCCCACCCCCACCCACATCCATACCCACATCCACCCACACCCCACACCCACAGCACCCACAGCCACACCCACACTCAACCACACCCACCCAACTGACAAAGTTATTGAATAAATACAAAATACTGGTTTATTCTGGGTCATTCGTTGTTCTTGATTATTGAGTCAATATTTTGTGTAAATTAAACAGTAGATTATTTTGGAGTTATCTGCGGCTGCTCCCCAGACTGCTGTTGAGATCTTCGTTCGGCTTCTTGCTTGATCATTGCTTGTTGAACATGAGTTGGTAGACCTGGATTGAGACTCAAAGCGTAAGGCAAAAGCGTTTTAGGCATGTCACCAAAATCAAGCATCACTTTGATGAACATTGTGTCGTCTCGTACATAAGGATTTCCTTCTTGGTGAATCATTTCCAATGGGAAAAATTTTGGTATACCACTGGCTATATTCATATCCGATCGAGGTCGTTGAAAACTACTTGATCTAATATCTGG